AAGCCTTGCCTATGTTTAGGCTTAGCATACACATTCATTTATAAATTGTACTTTAAAGTATGTGTTGTATTAACATTCTGAGGATTACAACTCCTTTTAACAGATTAAATAGCAACATTAAACTTTATAGCTTAGTATAACATATGTCTGAGCAGCTTTTAATTTCATATTTAAGTAACATGATAAATCTCTGTATATGAACAAAGTGCAAATTCTTTGGGCCACAAAGATAGGCAAAATCAACATCTTCTCTCTGTCAGTAGACTGGTTTTACCACGAAGGTCCAGAAGGACCCTCAAGTAGCAGTCCAATCTATATATCACTAATTATGGTCAGAGGGAACAGATCAGTATCCTTATAGCCAAAACCCAAATCATCACCCTTGGCAGACACTAATTAGCATTCGGATAGAAAATATTAAATAACTCCATCCGACAGGATAATTAACTCAGTTATCTGCACCATTAGGATATAATGCTGCTCTAAAACAGAGCTTTTACAAGAGCAATACTAAGGCAAATGTCACTTCTTTCATGCTCCATGGCATGGAGCTCTGGACCTAAGTCAAGAATTCATTCAGGCATTCAAGAAGATCCAAAGTTGCTTTTTGAGGTCCATTTACAACCTTCAGATAGAGAACCCTACAGCTTATTTTACTGAAAAATAGGATGGCATTCCGGTTGGATAAGAGACCAATCTGGATCTTTAAACTAAAAAATAAAGCCATTGTTGCCACCAATACCTCTGTTATTTTTCAGGAAAAAAAAAACGGTGTAATTGTTGACATAACCACTTGAATCTGTGGGTAGAACGAGTGAATATAAGACAAATTCTCTAATGGGACATAATAACACCAACTAGAAAATTGTAAGTTGAAGCACTTTAAAATGAGTAGGAGATGGGACTTCCCCAGTTGCACAGTGGTTAAGAATCTGCCTGCCTGTGCAGGGGACACGGGTTTGATCCCTGGTCCAGGAAGATCCCACATGCCACGGAGCAACTAAGCCCATGTGCCACAGCTACTGAGCCTGTGCTCTAGAGCCTGAGAGATCCAACTACTGAGCCCGTGTGCCACAACTGCTGAAGCCCGTGCACCTAGAGCCTGTGCTCCAAAACAAGAGAAGCCACCGCAATGAGAAGCATGCGCACTGCAACTAAGAGCCACAACTACTGAGCCCGCTTGCCGCAACTAGAGAAAGCCTGCGAGTAGCAGCGAAGACCCAACGTGGCCAAAAAAAAAAAAAAAAAAAAAAAAGATTAGGAGAGTAAATCAAGATAGCTGTCCTGAATTTATGTTTGTTATTAATTTTGATATGGGAAGTATTATCATTTGGATATTATTGATAAACTTTTATATTTTCAAAGGAAAATATGGCAATACCCAAAGAAAGAACTGCAACAAATATGTTTCAAGACCTTTCAAATTAGGAATAGTAAAATAAACAGAAATTCGAGACCTGTGACTATGCCTTTTAAAAGTATATTTTTAAAGTATATTTTAAAGGGTATAGCCCAAGACTATCAATAACAGTCTTAAAATGATATTTTTACATAAAAATCTTTCAACTCATTGAATAAAATCTTATAAAAATACAAAAATACAATTTTAAAGAAACAAAGCTCAGTATCTTAGCCATCACTCAACCTACAGTCTAATCCCTTTATCTTACAAGTAAGGAAGCCAAAGAATTTGCTCTTCTTCTCTTCTAAATACTCTGGGCCTCTCTGGTGGCGCAGTGGTTAAGAATCTGTCTGCCAATGCAGGGGACACAGGTTTGAGCCCTGGTCCGGGAAGATCCCACATGCCGCAGAGCAACTAAGCCCATGCGCCACAACTACTGAGCCTGTGCTCTAGAGCCCGCGAGCCACCACGACTGAGCCCAAGTGCCACAACTACTGAAGCCCGTGTGCCTAGAGCCCGTGCTCTGCAACAAGAGAAGCCACCGCAATGAGAAGCCCGCACACCGCAACAAAGAGTAGCCCCGCTCGCCCCAACTAGAGACCGCGTGCAGCAACAAAGACCCAATGCAGCCAAAAATAAAAAAATAAATTTATAAAAATAAATAAATAAATACTCTGATATCCTCTATTAGTTTCCCTCTGCTTCCTAATAGGTCCCCACAGTCCATGGAATACATTCATGTCACCCAGTCATGGTCTGAGGCCAGCCAACTGCCTTCTGTTACCTTGTCTATTACCTTGAGAGGCCTTTTTGCTTAGTCCTTTTAAATAAATGATTCCAGAGTTTCTCAGACTACCACTGGGCATGAAAGCAAAGAACTGCTGCAGTATTTGGGGGAGGTTTGGGGCAGTAATGCTATATATGCCAGACAAGGGACCTGAACACTATTCGGGTCTCATGTCACTAAAGTCTACTTTCCCATCTTCCATCATTAGACTCTGGAAGAATCTAGTTCTTATTCTCCTACCTTTCTGGAGGTGAGGGACGGTGGAGGAAACACATTCTCCATTCTCTCCTCCATATATAAGCTGAAGACAAGCTCATTATTATTTACTGGTAGGTAGCTGAATTTACTCAAAAATAACAAGGCAGGAAAAAAGTATTATTAAGAAACAATAAACCCTCAGAAGGAAATCTAATTTTTTGTTCACTGTCTTAATTTTTCACACTCAGTTCTATTGGTAATATCCGAGCTACCAGACGTCACACTCAACCAAAGAGCTGTAGAACCTTACAAAATCCCTCGCTCCTTGGGTCTGTTTTCTCATATTTAAAATAAAAAGACTGAACACATCAATCTCCAAGGTCCCTTTGTATTGGAATACTGTCTCCTTTATATTCTAAATTCAATTATAAGGCAGATTAAACATAGACTCATCTGCTTGTACTTTAAGTCAGTGATCTCAAAAATGGGGTACATATGGCAATTAATTAGAGGAGTAGGAACAAAATATTAAAACTTTTAATTTATATACATTTTTAATCCAAAGAGGTAGGAAAAAGACTCAGCTTTATCCTACCTTTACACTCTGAACTATATTGGTATTCTCACTTGGTCTGTGGGAGAACAGGAGCTCCACAAAGCAGAGGGGTCAGCAGGGAAACACCCTTTCTTTGTCCATTCTCAACATACAGCATGTTACTTGTGACTGGTTATGGAGATTTACAGATATTATCAAATGCTTACCAGATAGACAAGAGGCTTACAAGAATTTTTGCAAAGTAATCTCAGATTAAAAATGATACCAAAAGTGAAATAAGTGAGGCAGAGAAAGACAAATATCATGATACCATTTATATGTGGAATCTAAAAAAATGATACAAATGAACTTATTTATGAAACAGAAACAGACTCACAGACATAGAAAACAAACTTATGGTTACCAAAGGGGAAAGGGGGAGGGATAAACTGGGAGTTTGGGATTAACAGATACATACTACTATATATAAAATAGATAAACAACAAGGACCTAATGCATAGCACAGGGAACTATATTTAGTATTTTGTAATAACCTATAATGGAAAAGAATCTGAAAAAGAATACACACACACACACACACACGTGTATATGTGCGTGTGTGTATGTATAACTGAACTTAAAAAAACACCAATAAGGCAAACATAAGTGAATGACTCAAAAACACCAGGATCAACTTTTCCTGCTCTTAAAACAAGCTCTCCGTCAACCTCATTACAAGGTAAAGCAATGACTGTGGAATCAGATTAGCTCTGACAAGATGCAGCCCTCCTTAATTCTCAAGGAGTAGTATTAGAAGGGTCCACTGTCCTTAACTATGAACCTTTTCCTTGGTGTACAGTGGGTATTGAGGTTTGTTAAAAATGATAGTACATATATGAAACTTAAAAAAATATTTCATATATAAATTGACAAAAGGTTATACTGGGAATTCTCTGGCAATCCAGTGGTTAGGACTCTGAGCTTCCACTGCAGGGGCCATGGGTTCAATCCCTGGTCAGGGAACTAAGATCCCTCATGCACATGATGTGGCCAAAAGAAAAAAAAAAAAAGTTTAAACTGGTAAAAGGGTCTACAATCAACAAAGGTTAAAGGCTTATTTATGGGAAGGTGGATGCAGCTGTCCTGGATGCATGTGGAGTGCTGAGATGAGCTATTTCATGGTATCACTGACTCGGCAGCCATTTTGTTTTGCCAAGTGTCTTGCAGGGGCCTTAAATGGACACTAGCCCCTCATGCAAGAGCGTGCCCTCGATTAACAGCCCCAGAGTCCCAAGCAAGTGTCAGTTCCTGATATGACTCCCTCTGTGATTATGTCTCCCCGACCTCCCAGGGCCTTCCCCTGGTGCACCCCTTAGAAAAGACCACTGTGGAGCTTACCAATTGGTTTGAATTGACCAATTTGGCCTTAGCTTTGGAATCCCAAAGCACTTCACCCACCCTAATAATGGCACGTGCCCCAGGTCCTGTCTTTCTGTGTGTCTGTACGCTGCCTTGATCTCCCTGTGTGGCCCCTGCGGGTGAGTCATGTACCTTCTCAGGACCTGTTAAGGAATAAACTCTATTTCAATTTCTTTTGTGGTCTTTCATTGAACTGCAGCTCACCATGACACCCTGGGCTCCATTTAACAAATGTTCATCTAACAAAGTCACAATAACGCACCATGGTGCAGTGCAAAAGCATGAGCACTGGAGTCACAAAGACCTGTGTTAGGCTCACAGCCCTGACACACAACTAGCTGTGTGGTATAGATAAGCCTCTGAGGGTCCAATTTCTAATCTGTAAAGGTGTGAAAATAATACCCATCTCACAGGGTTGTTGTGAGACTTGAACAAGAATACTTGGCACATGTAGATCTTAATACTAATTTCTTTTTCCTTACTCTTAGTTTGCCAAAAAACAAAGGCATGGATTTGTGTAGTAAGGGAGGGCAAGTTAAGAATATAGTATGATACTACTTAAAACTGCATTATTTGTTTCTGCTAGGGTACAGTACAATAATCTGCCTCACAAGAGAATTTATTTATGTTAACTGAATTGGCAGCTTTTTTTAACTTACCATATTAAAATTTAGATTTTCGTCAACCCATGCTTTTGCCTCTTCAAATTCGTCTTTCATTTTCATAATAAAAAGTGTATCTAGGGCATCCACTATTGTTGCTCCTTGGATATTACCTGAAAATATCAGAAAAATATTTACTCAATAAAACACCTTTGACAGATCCATACATGCACATTGACCACACCTTGGAAAGGAAGTGGATAATACTGAATTTACTGGTAAACAAGAATACTGAACACAGTCTAAACATCTTTCAGTGACAGAAAATTGAAAAGTTGCATCAAAACCAAACTAAAAACTATCACAGGCTATAGATTAGTACACTAATCTTTAAAGTCTCTTCTGAGTTGCAGAAAATGAATCTCTTAGAAATTTCATTTGGGCTTGCATTCTCTAGCAGGAAAAAAAAAAAAGACCTGAAACCAAGGAGCAACACACTTATTAATTTTAATGTAATTACATCAAAGTGCACCTGTGCAAAACTCTTTAAATATAATTAGATCTAAAATTGTTTAGTGATAGCTCTAAGAAGCCACTACTCAAAAATGGAATTCTACCCCCTCTTTTTGCAGACCTGACTGATCCTAACCTCTCCTCCCATCCTCC